TATAACTTCTTTGAAATTACAAATGATCAAGCACTACTTCCAAGAAAAATTTCAAGTGATAGCTTTTGACACAAATTCAGAGTATTCTCAGTATTGCTAATTTTGGATACTTTTCAACATGGAAATGAGGAACCTATTGGTACCACGAATAAAAATACAACTCTTAAATAAATTCAAAATTGTATTTTGCTGAATTTTGGTCAACTGGTTGCTAACACTTAGACAATGTGCTACAAAATTTTGACAACAGTGATTAATATGTTCTGCTATAGCCAAGACATTTTTATGTTTAATTTACTAATTTTGGAACCTCCAAGAAATCCTTATAAATTAAAAAAATAATTTACAGTGTTTAAGTTGTATTTGTCACATCAGTGTTAAAGTAACTGAGTTTTTGGCAAAATATTAGTATAGGCCATTACAAGAAGGCTATGTCAGACAGGGAACTAAAAAGTAATTGACAAATACACATTTTATTCTATATAAAAGAAAACATGTTCCTACTATGTACTATGGAGGCGTCATCTGAACCTGTTCCCCTGCCTGGCTTCCTTCTCCTTGAGTCCTTCCTATATTTCCCTCAGCAAGGCAGGCTGCTTTTTCTCTTTCTCCAAATTTGCCTAGTTGTGTGGGTCCTTATATTAGTTGTCTGACAGCCTAGGCCATCCTTTTGTCTGAATAGTGCCCTGAATATCACGCAAATAGGCCTACTCCAAAATATACAGGAAGTACATGAGGCTGGGTAACATGGCAACACTAAACTGCATGATGCATGTCAGACTTTTTAAATACCTGCTATTGTTCTAGTGAAGTTACTATAATGCTATGTTTTCTATCCATGTTTTCTATCGTCTGTACAACACCCTCAGGGAATCTTAAACAACAGGATCAAATCACAGGGGCAGAATTTGATGATAGCTCTTACCTGACCCCAATATCATGATAATACCAAAACTTTAGCTGCAACTCTTAAGTATATTGATTCCTGATCACAATATTAATGCCAAATTAATTACCAATGAAAAACACCCTCTGTATTATTTTAGCATCTTCCCTATATATTTTTGATTTTGAGTTAATATCTGAGATAATTAGTGCTTTCCCATCAGCTGAATTTATAGGCAGGAAGTTTCTACAGTTGGATTCTTTACAAACTTTAACAGCCTCTTTCAGCAGTTTTTCACAACATTAAGACATTTTATCTAACCTTTTGTGGGATCTTGGCAAGGGCTGATGCAATTACGTTGGCCCTTTCTTCTGACATGTTACTGACCATCGACCCCAGAGAAAACACCACAACACCATTGTCTCCAGAACTCTGGACAAACTCTTCCATTTCCTGTGAAAAAAAGAATGTGTTCTATCATAATAGATTATCAGCACCGCAAGCACTGTGAAACAATTGCTATACAAACTAAAAAGAGAAAATCTCGTTTTTTGACTGACTCGATTACTCAGTTTTTTTGCCAGATGTATATTAGATAGGATGCCTCTGTAAGGGTATTTGTATAAATATGTGTGTGTGCATATTTGTGTGTGTGTGTGTGTGTGTGTGTGAAAGAGAGAAATGAAATAGAGCTATTACACAGTATTTGAGGAGATACCCGAACTCTTCATTTATAATATTTTAAGTACTAATGTAGGCTCCTTAATGTGGCACCACTTGGTTTTAATGCTATATTGTTGTTCTGCTACATCACATATGTTTATTTTACACAGGTTTTCTACAGAATTATTTTAGTTGGAAGTCATTAGTGGTTGACTTCCCTGACTCTGAGCACTGAGGAAAAGTTACTCACAGCTGCGATTATGTGAATCTACATTTATCTTACTATAATCTTGTACACGTCACTTAAAATTTGTCAGAGT